GAGCTAGATGGCCACTTGTTTATCTTCAGGCCTTTAAGACCCCAGACTGCTATATCTTTTGATAGCTAGGCACCATCAGCTTTCTTCACCACATTTGCTTATTCACCTGATTTTTCCTCAGTGGTTCTGTTGGGAAGGTGAACATCATAGAATGCCAGTTTAATAGAAGAAAGTATTCTTGCATTGAGGGAGTACTTGAGTGGAGGTTCAATGTCCTTCTGCTACCTTAATACTAACCCTATAAATATATGGATATAGATCTATTTTCCCATCCTTATATATAAATCTATTTGCATATGTACATGTCTTCATCTAGACCTCTTTAAATGCCCTTTGCCTCCCAGCTCTTTCCTCTATTCCCCTTGATTCTCCTCCTGTCCCACTATCATGCTCAGTCCCCACTGGGGTTTCAGTAGTTCCTCTTTGTTATATTACCCTTGATTATGCCCTACCAAGCCCCCCACACCCACCTCACCACCAATTTGGATCACTTGTTGTTCCCTTGTCCCTGGGTTGGTTAATACCACTTCCTTTCCCCCCATCTCCCCCTCTCCCATGTCCCCCAGGAACTGTCGGTCCCATTGTTTTCTCCTCCGGATTGTTCATCCAGCCTATCTTATTTAGACAGACCTGTGGAGATAATAACATGCACACTTTTGCTCTGTCTTATTTTTCAAAAATGCTTTTTAATCAGAAAGCAAGACCGCAGTTCGAAGCACTTTTCAGCTATAAAAGTGAACTGCAGAAAATAGCTTACTTGGCTGACATCTTTCCCATCTTGAATGAGTTAAATTTATCACTGCAACAACCAAATGCAACATGCCTCGATTTGTCTGAAAATATCTGATCATTCCGAATGAAACTTCAGCTCTAGCAAAAAAATTGAATGAAAATAAAATGTACATGTTGCCTACCTCATCTTCTTTCTTTGAGGAACATGACATTGAACCAGACAAAAGGATTACGATGATCATTTCTATGAAAGAATACTTGCACATTTTGCAGATGAAATTCCATCGCATTTTCCAAATCTACCTGACACCCCATTTGCACTTTCCAGAAGCCCATTCCCAGTCAAAGTTGAAGATGTTCCTGAGACAGCACAAGAGGAGTTCATTGAACTTATTAACAGCAATGCAGCGAGAACTGATTTTTCTACAATGCCAGCTACTGATTTCTATACAACACTGGATCAAGTGTTCACCATCATATCCTGTTCTGTCTGAGACTGTGTTGCACCTTCTTCCATTTCCAACAACATCTCTTTGTGAAACAGGGTTTTCCAGCTTGTTGGTTATCAAGTCTAAAAACAGAAGCAGGCTTGTTGTGGAAGATGATCTTGGTTGTCAGATGTACTATTGGAGGCTTTAGCTGACTCAGGATTTCTGGGAATCCAAAAAGCTGGGAGATCAGAGCTTGGTGGAATCAGATAGATTGGTAGACCAGATCTTATGGCAGGTCATGGAAGCTCCACTGATAGCTCCTGGGACAGGAAGGCAATCACTATGACTGTAGGCACAAATCCCAAGAAACTAGACCCAGGAAAAAAAAGAAAGAAACTAGGTGCAGAATTTACACCAGCAGGAAAGAAGGCAGGAAAAGGAACCAGTTCTTCAACAGGCTGTAACCTACATCTGATGCAGAAGAGCTTACTGCCAACCACAGAGAATCCTGCCCAGGCCAAGATGCCACAATACCTATTATAGTCCACCCTTTCTCAACATGGCACCTATCTATATCTCTTTAACCTTACATAGTCTTGAAAGGCACTAATATAATCATACTTTTGCCTAACATCATATGACTATGTGTGCAAAGAAAAATGCTCTGGTCCCATTTACATTTTATATTTTGTAAATGAACAGGATAAAAATATCTGATGCAAAAATATAAACAAGAGATCAAAACAAGAATCACAATCTTTCTCTCTGAACTTGATCAGATGGCTGCAATTAGTATTCAGAACTATGTTTTTCCACCACCCATTCCTTATTCCTCTTGTTGTCAGCTGGTCCTAGTTCTTCACCTGGCACGATGACCTACACCTTCATTCCTGAGGGGTCAGGGCCACTAGTACTCTTCCCAGGTTCGGTTGCTATAGCTTACCATTTACTTTAATCACAATACTTAGGAGGATCAAGAGATGGCATAAGGATTTTCCTGGATCCTATACATATTCTACTTTACCTTCATTGCATAATATCAATTCAATTTCCCCCCTTGGTAAGTCTGTAAATCCTGAAGTATGAGGATCCCCAAATGGTCAAGAAACATTCTTATCAGCCAATTCAATTGAATCAGTGCTGTGTCTCCAGGTGGGAGTGTTCCCTTCTTTCAACTAACCTCTCCAGTTATGAAAGCATAGTGTTTCAGAGACAGGAAGCAAAAATGCTGCCAGTGGGTCACTGGGAGTAATAGTGAGTAGTGCCATTTCCACCCCTGGATTCCTGAACCCATGAATCCTGGCTGGTGGAGAAATAACAACATATATTGGATGCTGGTTTAGAGCACCCAGCCTCCTGGAGAACCTTATTCTAACCTGCAAGGTATGCTGGAACTCATACTGTAATTGTGTCTTTAGAAGTCCATTCTATCTCTCTATCAATCCAGCTGCTAAAGCCTCTTGATTGCCTTCTAAAAATCAGCCAATAAAAATCTTATGCATTATAACAGATCAGTAAGAAATCTAGAGGAACACACAGGACTCAGCAGTACATATTTCTGTGTGTGCCATTGTGCATGAGATAGCCATGATTCTGAAGTGTTCTTAATTGTGGCTAACAATAGGGAACATTGTTAAGCACAAACAAAAAATATAAAATTGATTTATATAAAATATAAAATATTTTTATGGTAGGTATTCCTCTTCATTTTATAATTGAAGACATAGGAGATTAAAGGATTTAATCAAATGTACACAAAAGGGTTTGACAGAGGATATTGGCCTGTCCAGATAGCTCTGTACTCTTAGAAAGCATAATTAAACATTAAAGGTATAATTATAATTATTGACTCATTTTTTCAATCCAACTATTTAAAAATTGCTAAGAAAAATATGATTTAAAAAATGTATGTTTGAAAATGTTGAAAACTCACTCAACCCACCCCCTATGAGTGAGAGAGAGAGAAAGAATCTATAAAGGTAAGTCAAAAGTATTGCTACTAAATTCATGATGCATGGGTATATTATAACAAAATATATTTGAATATGTCTCTCTGAATTCATTGGATGGCTACAGACAGGTTTACTCTGTAGTAGAAAACAAACAGAGAAACAAACAAAAACCAACCTTACTGGCAAGAGTCGATTCCAACTCAGAGTGACACGTGAAGACTGAGTGGAAGTGCCCCTTGGATTTTCTAAGACTGTAGATCCTTCTGGGAGTCGATGCCCACATGTTTCTCTGCCAAGACGCTGGTAGTTTCAAACCACTGATCCTGCTGTTCACCATCCAGTGCATAGCCTATGCACTGTGCATGCCCCTGGGCTCCTTCTTCCCCCTCAGTACTACTCTTCTCAATCTGATTACAGTGTCTTTTTCAAATAAGTTCAATCAAAACAGTGGCTTTGGTGGGGACTTGCTGGGTTCTAAGGTAGATTTTCTCAAAGGATACAGATAATCACAGGGGCTTATTACAAAGATGCTTTAAGAAAGTAGAAAACTACAGTGGTGGGGAAAAGGCCAGCAAACAGGCACCAAAGCATGTTTTTCCATCCTGACAATGAACCGACTTAGTTTGGGCACATTTGAATTTCAATTTTCAATCAGAATTATGTAAACTGGATGAATTGTAATGTCTCTGGTGTGGGCCTCTGATTCTGACAAGAATCATCAGTCTTCTTCAATTAGGCCATAAAAACAAGATTAATATTTCTTGGGAAATTGATATGGATAGTCAGCTGCTGTACACTTCAACTTCAGCACTGCCTTGTCCCTTGTTAAAATGAGTTAGTCATTTGTAAATTCATGATTTCTTTGAAGCATTGTCTCAATAAGGCTTTCATAAAGTTTCAAATATTTCTCAATTCTTTCGTTCAAATTTCTTCACCACAACTTTAATATTTGTTTCTTGCTTCTATTTTGGCATAGTTCATGTTGCTCTAATAGGGGCTCTTTTTAAACTGATGTTTTATCCTTCTTAGTTCCTCAAACTTTGTCTTATTCAGACATGCTATAGGAAATTATTAGAAGTTTATTTTCATAAAAAATTAATCCATGTATATTTTTCATAATATGTATTTTCCATAAACTGTATAAAATCCCTCTTGCATATGTATGTTTACTTTTGTTAAGGATAAACTTATGTTATTCTTATTGATACAAAAGTGCATAGCATGCAATTTACCAGTTAAATGATATGTATAATATTTTATTATAAATTCAACATTTTATTGACTCTTTCAGAATCATTTTGTTGAATTTTAATAAAGGTTTGTATATATAACCAACTTATAGTTCCATCAGTTTATGTAGTTTCAACATAAATGTTGATTGCCATTTTCAGATTTCAAGTCCCTTAAATGGCTTAACGTAACATGGAGTTGGTAAGAGATGCACAGTAGCACACAATTCAATTGTACTCCCTTCGAAAAACAAAAATAAACTCAAGAAGTAAATAAGAGAAAATTGGAATGAAATAATTACAGAAGGATGAGTTCTGAGTATATACCTTTACTTTGGATATAATGTATTTCATTTTGAATTTGTATAATTTCATTTGTTAATAATAACTATATTGTCTCACAAGATTCTTTAATATTTAGATGTTTGCTCTAGCAAGCTGATGTGACCCAACTCCAGGTCACACTGCATATGAAATATTTCTTGTCATTCAAGTGCTTCCATTTCTAGAGTATGTACTACTCCAAATTGGTGAAGTTTCATGGTTCTGAGCATGTTAGCATATCATTTTCAGGAAAATAACATGTGGAAATAGATGATATTGGACAAAGAGTCCTTCCTTTAACAGATGTTGTTGTTTCTGTGGTTTATTCACAGGCATTTCCTTGCATCTCAACTGGCATTTATGGTAAGTGATCCATGATGTTTTTATTTATCTCTTTTGTGCATGTGTAAAAGAGAAGTTCAGTGCTAATCTCTAAAAAACTAGAGAATCATTAATGAATTTAGTTTTCTGTGATTTAAAGACTCAAAATTCAGATCAAGTCCATGAAGGAATCTCAGGAGGCTACTTGGGATCTTTGGTGTTTGTGAATTTTTTTTACTGTACAGCACATAAAATCATTCCATAGGCTGAACTGTAATGTCTTTTAAAATCAAAATTATTGTTGATTTTTAGTTATTTCCCCTAGGGATAGTATTTGATATTTAATAGCTCTTTCATAACTAAGTCAAGTTTCTCAGAAAAACTATAGTTTTATTGAAAATTAAAATTAATAAACGTGTTAACATGCATGTCATAGCTAAATATTCAATTTTTCACAATCCAAATAATAAGCAAAAATATTTCCTGATATTAATATATTATTTAAATGAAAATGATTTTGTAAGCACTTTTTTCTCTAATGTAAAACTCTAAATAGTCTTCTGTCTATGATGACATATTTCTATCTTGCTTTTCTTAAACTACCACTTATAACATAAACAGACTGCCATATAATTGATTGCAAATAATGGCAACCCTATAGGACAGAGTAGAACTGTCCCCTAGAACTTATGAGACTTTCCATCTTTGCCTGACCAGAGTGTCATCTTGTTCCAGAATGGTTGGTGAATTTGAACTGCTAACCTTGTGCTTAGTCGCTATTTCTGGTATATACAGTAGTAAGGTAAAATGAAGATTGTTTATCATTGTAGGTTTTTATAATTCAAGCAAAATAGATCTCAATCTTTCTGAACTCAAACTTCTTCCCACATGGAGACTTTCAATTGAAAAATAAAATAGTCATTCATCTAAAACAAGAATCTACACTCTACTAGTGTAGGGCAGGGTGTATCTAGATGAAGGTTAAAGTTGTGAGTTTATTCTTTCTAATATTAGCCTTTTCTTTCTTTTTTAATAGTGAAAATGTCCTACTACTCTAATCAAATTTTAAAAACTTATTTTGTGAATAAGATAGGAGTTAGCATTTCAGCTCATCATTTTTGTATTTAACCACTCATCTAATTTTGCAATAGCTTACCTCACCCATTCCTTTTTCCTCCTCTCTCCCTCTGGGAGACTGTTGTTCCCCTTTCCCCCAAGTTAATACCTGACTGCACTCTAGCCTGTTGCTTTCCCTCTTTCTCTTTCTCTCCTGCCCCTGGGAACTATCCGTTTATGACTTTGGGTAAGAAAACGTTCATTTTGACCTTTTATAACATTTGTCCATCCAGTACTTGTCCTTTAATGATGATCTTTCTTCACTCACCTCGATACCCTTTCAATTCGTCCATGTCATGAGTAGTTCAGAGTTTCATCATTATTGTATAGAGGTGAATAGTATTTATGCACCAACATTTATTTACCCCTTCTTATGCCTCTGGACATCATGGCTGTTTCCATAATCTTGCTATCACAAATATTACTGCAATGAAATGGATGTACATTGATCTCTTCAGGCTTTATTCCATCTTTCTGTAGCATAGACATTTATGGGTCATATAGTCTTCTCCTCCAACTTCTCCAACACCAGGCAGGAGGAGAAAGCACCTATTCAAGAAGATGAGAAAACTCCAAACAGTATAGACCCCAAAATGAAAATAAAAACTCACAGTGTGTCATAGTCAAACTCTCCAGTTTCACGGGAAAGGACCAAATCTTGAGAGCACTTGGGGAGAGGGGGTGGGGGGAGGACAGGGACAGTCCCCTCGGAAAACCAGTACGAATAAGTTCAGATTCACAATAGAAGCTGTTCTTTAGAATTCCACTGCTGATAATCCCCGGTCCTTCTTTTCACAGTATTCCATCCATGTGGGTGTCTTTCAGTTGCTGGTGCTTGTTGTTCTTGATTTGGGGGTGTACTGCAACTGACTGATGTTTCCACGGCATCCTGTTGTAGCTGTTGGCTTCTGGGTTGAATTTGTGTTGGATAAAGTCAAGTCCGGATGAAGAGGAGGGAAGGGAGAAAGGGGTTGAGCAATGGAAAATGAAAAGAAAAAACAAGAGAAACAAGAGAAATAGGGAGGAAAAGAAAGATTAAAAATTGCTGTTTGATGAAAGGAAAAGGGAAAATGTAAACTAAAGAAAAAGGAAAAAAAAAGCAGGGTTTTAATTTGGTGGGTTATCACCTTGGCCCTGTAGCTTTGTAGCTGTAGACAAGGAGATGTGATGGAGCCACAGTAAGAAAAGTGTGGCATTCGACCTTGACCTGAGTGATTGTGGCTGATCTGGTGGAGAAAGCACTGTGCCAGGCTGAGCCCTACCTGCTGGTGGGCATGGAGATAATTCTGGGCTGGGAGCTGGGCTGGTTGCTAGGATGATAGGAAAAGAGCACTGAAGGTGGGTTGGACCTTGAATGTTGGTGGCATTGAGCGATCACTGGGTCGGGTCGGGGGCTGGGTCTTCTTGTTGGCGGGGCAAGGAAAGAGCACCTAGCTTGCTAGACTGCTTAGTGGGGAGTCACGGAGGGGTTGCTGGGCTGGTGCTAGGAATTCTTGCTGGCAGAGTGCTGAAAGCTGTCTAAGCTGGGCTGAGCTCTGCTCACTGGTGGGGCACAGAGGGATTATCAGAGCAGAGCTGGGCTTTCCTGCAGTGCGGTACTGAGAGTACGCCTAGATCAGCCGGATCCTGCTAGCTAGTAGGGCATGGAGGGATCAAAGAGCCAGCAGCACCTTCTTGCTGGTGGAGTGAGGAAAGCGGGCCTAAGGTAGGCTAAACCCTGCTTGCTGGCAGAGTAAGCAGAGATTACTGGGACTAGCGCTGGGCCTGGTTGCTGTGGGACTCTGCTTGGAAGGGCACAGGCTGGTCAGGAGCCAACAGCGGTGAAGGAGCAGCGCTTGGTACTTAAGAGCAGGTCTATGCCCCTCCCCTTCCGCTGCTTGCTCTCACAGACTCTGGGACATAGAAGTTTGGGTTTACTGAACTTTTGAGTTGTTTCTGTGACTGCCGGCTGCCTGGTCTTTCTTTGGTGGTGATTCTCTCCGAATTACAGAGGGATCCCCTGGTGTGTGTGTGTTCATCCAATTTACCCTGAAACCCATGGAGACTTCTTTCTCATCCTTCGAATTTGTTCTCAGAAGGAGGAAACTGTTCCTGGACGAGGACATGATGGCTGATAAGGTGTAGGCTCAGCAAACAGAAAAATGAAGGTCCTTAACCACATGGATGACCACAGTGGTTGCATCAGTGGGCTCAAAGATAGCAGTGGCTGTGAACACGGTCCAGGACCGGGACCGCTTGATTTTGTTGTATGTTGAGTAGTTGTGATTGCAATGGCCTTGATCAAACCTCACAACACTTCACACACCTGTTAGTTGGACTGAAGCTAATCTGCTTTCACAATGTGCATCTAAACAAAAACATATTCCTTTCTTTGTTAACAGTTCCAAGGTGAACATTCTGCTTTAAAGGACCTTGTTCCTACCATTGTCAGGAACCCAGAGGTCTGCCGTTTTGTCAAGTAATTTCCCTGTTGTTCAAAGTGTATTGCTCTCACAAGCTTATTTACCCTGATTTCAGTAAACTAAGCCTTAAGGATAAGAACACTTACTATTTTAAGGTGCATTGGCTCAAAACAGTTCACATACTTGCCATCCACCCACATCCCACCAGAGAGACATTGCTTCCACTGCACAGACGGTGGAGACTTTATTCTAGGGTAGCATTCACCTGGCTTCTCATAATGATAATAGTAGAAAAGATTGGGGAGTTGAATTTTGGTGGGTGGCTTTTATGCCTAAAGTGAGTGACTAGTCAATTACATCACACAGGTCACCCAGTGAAATTATAGTTTAGGGCAAGATCAACTATCTCAAATCAGCAAAATTTTTTGAATAATGTTGGTGCAAGGACAATGATAATAACAAGAGTAATGTTATTCTGCAAGGACACTTGGTGAATTTGTCAGCATGCTGGATTTTCAAATATCTTTATAATTTAGAACTCCTGAAAAATTATATGTGTGGAATTCTTGTGGTATCAGAGTCTATTATTGACCGCTACCATTAGTGGTCAGTCACTACATAAAGACCTTCAGCTCTCACTTTAACTGTGTTTATATTTCTTTTTACAATACCTTGCAAAATTTGCAGACACATCAGTGGAACAAAAATCAATATATTGAGAATGAGTAATTGCATCACTTATTAAACCACTAATTCTGGCCCATTTCCAAAGAAATCTCTTAAGGAATCAATTGCAATTTGTTTTTGTAAATCTATAATCCCCCGAAGCTGTAACATTTGTTAAACAAACAGAAAGGAATCCCGAGTAGCTGTGCACCACTAGCCTGTACACCCAAAGACCCAGGAGAGTGTGATTGTAGGGCAGGGAGCTAAAGATAGTGGAGTAGAAGTTATATAGTGAGCAGGAGTTCACAGATACAGGAGAAAGAAAAAGAGAAAATATGAATCTAAATTTCTTGAGCAAACATAGGGAGTTTCCTTAGAATCACTAGACTGTATCATTCAGCCATGGTTCACAAGGAGAGTCCTTAAAAGTGAAATCAATAAAGCTGAAGTAACAAAACCAATGTTAAACTGTCTCACCTCTAAGTTTATTGTCCTGAATTTATTTCTCGGTTCACTGAAATGTTCCTAGAGCTTTCTCTAAAGAAATTAATTTTTTAGTAAAATCCACGCTTTATTCCAAACTTCCATTCTGGAAATTGACTCTACATTCTCTTATTGGTCTATCCCAGGACCTAGAACGGAACTGGTTAAGGACTTGTAGGAGGCCGTTGAGTCAGTTCCCCCTCACAGTGCCCCTGTGGGCAGCAGAGCGCCACACGCCTAGCCCTGTGCTGTCCTCACGGTTGGCATAGTAAGGAGCAAGTCTTAATCATGATCAGGTTAGGACCAGCTAAGAAATAGACAGGTCTCACTCAGATGGCAAAGAGCCCTGGAGACACTGTTGGACTGCTAATAGCT